CAGGGACAAATGGAGACGTTACTGGCGCCCGCTCGAGCAAATCGATGACTAACGGGAAGTTAAGTGATTAAGTGATTACAAATCAAAATATAAGTTGAATGCATTCCTAATAGTTTGCAGTGAGCTTTTTTGTTTTTAAATGTTTTTGTTTTCCAGGGGATGTGGGCTCCCAAGAATTCTTCAGAGGACCTAGGACCTTTTTTGGTGTTGGTTGATACACGGTCTTTTAACTGCTTATTAAGGCTAGGGCCTGAGAATACAGTGAAGCTCAGGCCTGTGGTGCAGTGCCGAAGATTACCTAGCTATCCTGGTGGTGCTGGGGGCTTGTGACTAAGCATTACAAGAAAAATAACAATTTGGAAAAAAAAAAACCTTTATTTAGCCATATCAAGATAAATTGGAAATTTGTTTTCTAATGTAAATTTGAATTCTTAAGTGATTAAGTTAAAATGAAATTAGAAATTAGTTCTAAAATGTAAGTTCAGGGGCGTCTCCGTCCACTCTGCAGGTTCGCGGCCAAGAGCGTCTCAGCGGGTCAGCGGCCTCCACAGGCCCACTCCGGGATTGGAAGATGGTCAGACCTCAGACCGAACAGCACCATCACCGCCGGCATCTGCGGGGCCCTTTTCCTCATTTACTTTGACCGCAAGAGATGGAGTGACCACAATTTCAAGAACCTGTGGGAAGCCAAGAGCCCTCTCATAGACGCTGGCTGTGGTTCCCATGTTAGGGACATTGGTGACAGTCTCCCAGGGACTTCCTGACCTCAGCAGATGTCTGATCCATAGCCACATACATTAGGCTGACAGTTATCTTATCTGGCCTTATCTATAGTGACCTCCAGGATGCATCTACTGCCCTAAGACCCTTTGATATACAAATGTAAAGCTCAGGATCCATCTACTACCTTAACACCCTTTGATATACAAATGTTTACCTTGAATGCTATGTAAAACTCTTGTTGCTAACCTTACCATGTATGGTTATATTGCGTCTGCTTGTGACTGGGCTATCCCAGACCCTATATAAACAGCCTATATCCCTCAATAAAGCCTGTCCCTTTTTCTCTCTGTTTCTAAACTGTACTCTGTCTCTTGTGCCTTGTATTCATTCAGTTGGTCCCTCCTTGCACCATCAGATCAATCCTCGGGCAACTCCGAGGGCCAGAGAGTGGTTAGCCAACACCCGCCCCCCCCCCCCCCACAAGAACCAAATGCGAAAACAAAGAAAGAAACAATAGCTTGCTAGCTTGCTAAGGAGAGAGCTGGGCTTTCTAAGTTACCTGACCTTAAAGATGCTGAGGCTGTTCAAAAATTCTTCTTTGAAGAAATACAGCTTGGTGAAGAGTTACTAGCACAAGGTGAATATGAGAAGGGTGTAGACCACCCGAGGAATGCCATTGCTGTGTGTGGGCAGACACAGTAGTTGCTGAAAGTGCTACAGCAGACTTTTCCACCGCCAGTGTTCCAGATGCTTCTGACCAAGCTTCCAACAGTTAGTCAGAAAATTGTCAGTGCTCAGAGCTTGGCTGAAGATGATGTGGAATGAGAAACAAATGTCAAGTTAGTAATCTCAATTAAAAAATATTTTAAACTTTTAACGCGGAAGATGAACAGCTCTGGGGAGAATATGGCAGATATATTTTTTGTGGAGAGTCATACACTGAAATCTACCAAAGTTTAGTTTTACGTTGTGTAGATACATTTGTCTCATTTATTTTTTCCAGTGAAATGTGTATTTTGATTGAGAGCTTTTCATTTTATAAATACACTATGAGTTACTGAAACACCATTGATTTTTGTTTATTCCTAAAATGTGTGATAAGGTGAGCATACAGTCTGACATAATTTGCATTAAAAATAATCTATTCATCAAATTTTGAAAAATAGGAAAGCACAGTAGAAGAGAAAGCTGAAGAATGCACATTTTTCAAGCTGAAGAATGCACATTTTTCAAGCAAAGTATGTCCTGCTGTGTATCCAAAAATGGGTGGAAACTTGGTAAGTGTCAGAGCTCAGCAGTGAAATCTGTGAGGCCATTTTATCCATATGATCTCTGAAATAATGTGAGGTGTGCTGCTATGCTGATTATAATTCCCATCCTGTGTCTTTCTTTTTTTTTATTTTTGCTTTTTGGGTCACACCTGGTGATGTTCAGGGGTTACTCCTTGTTCATGAACTCAGGAACTACTCCTGGCCATGCTCAGGGGACCATATGGGATGCTGGGGATTGAACCTGGGTTGGGCCGAGGGCAAGGCAAACACCCTACCCGCTGTGCTATCACTCCAGCCCCTCCTGTGTCTTTCTTAAATCAATGAATTTAAAGGTGTTCTGGGTTTTAGATGAATATGTATAGTTATAACAGATAGCACTGTAATTAGATCTATGCACCTTTCTGATCTAGCCATGTGAACTTTGCTAGTTACTCTCTGTCCAGTTAAATTTTCTTGTTTATAAAATGGTCTGCTGATTCAGAGAATTGTTCTTCTCAGCTTCTACTTCTAATTTGTTAACGTGGTTCTGTCGGCATCTTCAAATCCAACTTTACCCTCAGGGGTAGGTATACTTGGGCAATTAGACCTTGCCAGGGGAGGGTTCTGTTTTTTTTTTAATGCTCTGAATTTTGCATGTTTGCCCAACTTCTATTTTTGAGTTGATCTTATTTTTAAAGGTATGACAGATTGGGGCCAGGGAAAGAGTTCAGGGGTGTGCAGGAGTTAAAGCACTTCATATGGTGGCCCCTGTTATGATTCCTGGCACTGTAGGTGGTCCCTGAAGCACAGCACCAAGAGTGATTCCCAAACACTGCTGACTGTTGCCCAGAGAGTCCAAACCCCATGCCCAAAAAAAGGTGTAGGTGACACTAATTTTCACTGAAATCATAAGGTTCTTCACTTATCTTGTAAATTAATTTGGAATTTTGTCTTTAAGTTAACTGGGATGATAGTGCTTGTAATTTTTTTCTTTGCATTTATATTCAGTGTATTTCCTTAATCTTTTTCCTGTTTGTTTCATTTATCTTGTTGGTGAGAACAAGGTGTAGTCTTGTAGCTGAATACTTGTAGAGAATGGAGCTAATGAGACCTGTGATTTTCAAAATGACATTCAGCATCAGATCTGAGAATAAAGACCCTCAGTGTCATCTGTGAATTGATCAGCAAATAAATAAATAAATAAATAAATAAAATGCAAGTTCAAATTCTTAAGTGTTTAAGTAAAAGTGAAGTGTATAAATTTTTGCCGAATAGAGAATAGAATATTGCATCCTAATATTAAAGTTGAATATTAGCATGCAGTATTAAGATGTAATAAAAATTTCTATTTTCAGTTAGTAAATTTCTCTATAAAATAAAGTGACAAGTAGAAAACTTTTATTATTATAGCTAAAACAAATGTTAAATGTACCTAATCTGTAACGAGCTAGAATAGTTCAATAAGAAAAACAAATAAACTGTGCTGACTAAAATAGCACTGCAACACTGTAGCACTGTCTTCCCACTATTCATCAGTTTTCTCTAGCAGCACCAGTAATGTCTCCAATGTGAGACTTATCGTTACTGTTTTTGGCATATCATATATGTCATGGGCAGTTTGCCAGGCTTTGCAGTGCGGGCGGGATACTCTCTGTAGCTTGCCAGGCTCTCCGAGTGGGGTGGAGGAATCGAACCCAGGTCGGCTGTGTGCAAGGTAAACACCTTTTCCACTGTGCTATACACACTTAAACGTTATACATAATAAAAAAGTAAAGATTCTCTATCTTAATTTTAAAATGGGAAAGGGTCGAGTTAAAATAATTCACATGTCAGTGGACATGCAAATGTTTAACATTGAAAAAATAAATTTCTCATTTTTTATCAAGAATATTGAATTAGCTTTTCAACTTTGATTGGTTTTAGTAATTTCACTTATAAGAATTTATTCTAGTGGAACATGGCCATATACACAAGAGATAAAATATTGTTACAGATATTAATTTATTTATGCAATTTTGCAGTGCTGAAAATCACAGCTCAGGGCTATATATATGCAAGACATGCAGTTCACCACTGAGCCTCAGTCCCAGCCCAACACTTGTTTTTATACACAACCCCCCCATACACGCTGAATAATATAATAAAGAACCCATAAAATGTAGCAACATGCCACTATGTAAAACCATTTTCAATGTTGTCTATATAAGAGTTAAGATTTATTACATACATACTTATCATTTAGTATTAATAAGAGCAGGTGCTATGAACGTTACATTTATACTTGTTAACTGCTTTAACACTCACACTATTAAGTAGGTCTTATTCTACTCTGAAAATTTGTAGTTTATAGATGTGCAAAACTAGCTACAGAGAGGCAAAGTAACAAACATGCTTCAAGCTATAGGTGGATATGTAGCAAATTCAAACCTTAATATTTTGACAGTTGACCTCAGACTCTTGGCCACTATACTGGCAGTGTTATCTACATTTGATAGGTATTACTGTTGCAATATCTACATTAGGTAGATATTATTTACTGTATAGTATTAGTTTAAGAAATATTTTACATACACCCATATCAATTCATTAAAAAGTATACCTTTTACTTTTTGGTAAAAAAAAAAATAACTGAAAAGAGTATATTTCATAATGAATTAAAAACATCTCAATATGTGTAGAATAAATTTAAATGTCTGTATAATGAACTTTTACTTTATTTCTATTGTTATTTAATTTTTAAAGAAATTAATTTTAGTGTTGAGACAAAGCATTGCTATTTATATTTACAGCTGAGGAACATCACTCACCCTATTAACAAAGAAAGAAAAGTTACTAACAGAATTTAACTCAAAATCTTTAAAATAAATCATGCAATGAAATTTTAAAGGGAATTTGACAAGGGTAGTTACATTCCTTCAATTTTAAATTAAAAGTTATTTTACACTTTGGTGTTGGAGTCCATGAGTTTCTGCTCTTTGAAAAAAGATTCTGTGACAGGTTTAAAACTTTGATTCAAATCACAAACCCTTAAACACTTCCTTGTGTTGGCAACATGTATTTTTCCAGGACCCTCCTCAAGGCCCCCATGACCTCCTTATTCCTCAGACTATAGATGAGGGGGTTTAGGGAAGGGGTGACAATAGTGTAGAAAACAGAGATGATGTTGTCCTGCTTAGTGCTGTGCAGGGAACTGGGCAGGACATACATGAATGTGGCAGCTCCATAGAACATCCCAACAACTGTGAGGTGAGAAGAGCATGTGAAAAGGGCCTTCTGCCTCCCCTCATTGGAAGGCATGCGGAGCACAGTAAACAGGATTAGCGTATAGGAGGCTAGGATAGCAGCAAGAGGAGGCAAGAGGAAGGTTACACCCATGACATACACCAGGAGCTCATATCTGGATGTATCCGCACAGGCCAATTTCAGCAGAGGTGGGATCTCACAGAGCAGGTGGCTAATCTTCCGTGACTTGCAAAAAGGATAGTGCATAGTATACAAGGTATATACTAAGGCACTGAGGCATGCCAGGATCCAGGATGTGGCCACCATGAGCCAACAGATCTTTGGTCTCATGAGGACCATGTAGTTCAGAGGATGACAAATGGCCACATACCTGTCATAAGCCATGAAGGCCAGGAGCAGGTCCTCTGCACCCCCCAATGTCAAGGCTAGAAACATCTGAAAGGCACAGCCCCCAAAGGAGATGGTGTTTTCACCTCGCAGAAAATCCACGATGGTCTTAGGAGTGACCACGGATGTGAAGAGGAGGTCCATGAGTGAGAGTTGCCCAAGTAGGAGGTACATGGGCACATGAAGCCGGGCATCCAGTGTGATGACCAGGAGCAGCAGACTGTTGCTGGTCAGGGCCAACATATACAAAGCAGTGAATGTGGCACAGAGCAGTTCAGGAAACCCGCTGTCATTAAGGATTCCCACCAGGATGAAGCCACTTCCCAGAGTAGAATTCCAGGGCTCCATTCTCAATCACTTCTTTGGTTGCCTAGAACCAAATGGATTCTCAGTGAATGTTTGGTACAATGGTTTTTAGGATATGTTCACAAAACATGGTTTTATAATATCTGAGGCGCCTGAGGATGGAGAATACAAAGACATGATGTCTTTCCTACAGATGACTAATTTTATCTCTAGTAATTAAGAGGTTTTTTTAATTACCTTAATTATATCTTTTAAGAAATAACAAAGGGACAAATAGGCATCAAAGTTAAAGTACCTGAATGGTAAGTGATTAAATCATAAAAAGTTTCAAATTTAACTTGATCACATAATTTTCTAATAAGATGACATCATTATCTCTTAATAATAAAACAATATCCTAGCACCCACATTTTAATTATTTTGCCTATTTTTATATGTAATATTTGAATAGTAATTTAAATACTGAATCTTTTACACAGACCAAATATGAATGTGAAATTCAAAAAGCAGAACTGTTATTTCAGTAAAACACATCCACTACTTTTTTTCATATAATTTATTTCACATTTCTTTCTAGCTGTAGAGACTAAACTCTTTGAAAGAGCCTAGTTAGTCAACTTCTCATAACCAGATCCACTATCTTCCAGTATCTGAAGAAAGAGATTCTAAGCTGCTACTATGATATGGTGTATTTGAGATGGCATTGTTTTTAGAGCTAAGGCTTTAGAATCAATGAGAACACAGGTGTTTTTCTAAATTTTAGTTTAGTTTAATTTTTTAAAGCAATTTATGACGAATAGTATGAGGGAACTCAGGAAAGGTACCAGACAAAACAATAGTTCAGGAAAATCAGTGCTTAGATTTAGGAAAAAATGACAAGAGAATATTGTAGTCAAACTTGTAATCTTAGCTTCACTCCTTTATGCTTGTCCTAAATCCTTGCTCCCTTTTCTGAAGTTCAAGAGTATGCACACAGAATCACTAGATTAAAGGGCCAAAGGAATAGGAGGGAAAAGGCTCTTCTTCCTCTGAAAGTTACTAAGAAGTGTGGTGTCCTGTGTAGAAAGAAGTTAGAAAAAGGAGAAAGACATGAAGAATAGAGTTTTCTGCATCTTGGGAAGTGTACAGAAAAATTCATCTTTGAACATGGGTTTAAAATCACTAGCCCCCCAAATTTTATATCTACTTATTTGCATTATCTGGAGCAATGGCACAGTGGGTAATTCGTTTTCCTTCACGTGGCCGACCCAGGTTCGCTTCATTTGTCCCTCTCAGATAGCCCAGCAAACTACTGAGAGTATTCCACCCACATGACACAACCTGGCAAGCTCCCCATGGTGTATTCAATATGCCAAAAACAGTAACAAGAAGTCTCACAATGGAGACATTACTGGTGTCTGCTAGAGCAAATTAATGAACAACTGCAGAACAGTGCTACAGTACTACTTATTTACACAGGCCCACAGACTGATTTTTGAAAACCACAGTTTTCAACAACAGTAAGTGGACCTCTCATAGCCACCGCCACATTGACTTACCCACAAGCCCTGCTCTCCAGATTTATGAACTAAATCTCTAGTTGATGCAAGCCTAGCAGCTGAAATTCATGGACACACTGGTTCCTGACACTGTGTTAGCTGAGATCCCATGGATGACTTCAGGAGAGGGGAAGGCTGAGTTCCCACCCTGCCAAAGCTCTGACAACCTCATTCACAACCCACTGATGCCACTAAAACAACATCCTAGTCCCAGAACTTCACTAAAGATCTCTGCAGATTCATCCCGAAGTTTCTGGAGCACATAGCCACATCCATCAAATATGATATCTCCAAAATCCACAGTGCTGAAATTCCAATAGGAACACAACAAATTAAATGAGAAAGTTACAAAGAATCCAGGTAAATTAAAAAAAAAAACAAAAAAAACCCACAATAACAAATAAGCTCAACTTGAAACTAGTTTAGTAAATTCTTAGATTAATCAGCTCCATGGTGAGACATAACAATTTTCACAAATTTTCTTTCACTAAAGTATTTAAGATAATTCCTTTAACCATTTGGTTGTAACAAGCAATATAAAACAAAGAAAATGGGGATATTGATGGGGAGAAAAATCAGTCCGGTGGTGGGATTGGTGTTGGAACATTAAAAGTCATAAAAACTGCATTATAAAAGCAACTGTGTAAACCATCATGTCTAAATAAAGTTTAAAAAAGTAAATGAAACATCTTTCTCTTAAATACTCATCATTTCCGTATAGTGTGGCTTATCTGGAGATTTTACTATTTTCTATTAAAATCTTGTAGATGCACAGGATTTTAGTGGTCAAATATATTAGTGAATATGATAGGCTTATATGCTTGCAGAGGACCATTTCAAAATATTTATTAGCAGGTAAGTTCAAATGTTTACCAAAGATCACTTTATCAGTAGATTTTCAATATGGACTGATGTGCTGACCACGAGGCAGATACTCAAACATGGAGTGTACCACTGATCCTTTCATCAGTCCCTGAATGTGCTATCGCTTTCAGGTCTACAAAACCAAGAACAGGGACAGGAAACAGACACAGAATGAAAAGCTCTAGAGAATCTAGAAGAGAGAAGACTAACTGCTTGGGCTCTAGATTGCAACTCCACTGTCCTTGAGGATTCATTTGAGACACAGAATTCTTACCTTAGTTGGGGCAAAACCCAGCTGCCAGACAACACAAATTACCCTAAAGGTTGTCTGAGGATCCAGGATGCTCCGGAAAAATGAGAAAGAAGGGGAGGGGTTTCCCCTTAGAAGGATCCAATTTGTATAATTTTCGTCAAATTGGTTAGGTTCAAGGAATCTGATCAAGATAAACAGGACCCTTCCTGTTCCTTCTCTTCCTCTACTGGTCTTTTCTGGAGATGTAGTAGATACAAACAGAAATTTTTTCAGTCCTTGAACAGTTCTATGGAGCAAGTAGATGACTTTCCTTTTCTGTCACCTGTGGAGATCTTTCTGCCTGACACCTGTGGAGATTTAGAAGCTGTTTCTATCACCCAGAGACCCAGGGAGAAGGAGCATCTCTCAGAGTGAGTTCTTAGGACCAGATGCTGAGACTTTCTCTCTTTCTCAAGTCTCAGAGCAAAGCTAAGTATAGTAGGAGACTAGAGGAAGTAGATATTGGGGAGGGCTGTTCAGAGGAGACCCTGCCATACCTGACCTCACTGTCCCCAGGGCGAACAGTGAGCCAGGTTCTGTCCTGAGGGAGGATGCTTTATCTCCTTATCCCATGACACCATTTCCCGACTCTTGTTCTGCTCCTTCCTTCAGAGGCACTTGTCTTCTCAGACAAATGGCTTCCCTTGCCTTACACTGAGCCAGAAAACAGAATGGTAGCCATTCCTCTGGGCATGTTTCCCAGCCCATTCTACTATGCCTAAAGAACTCAGATGTACTGATTCGTGGCTTATTTATTTTTTCTTTATTTTTTAAAAATTTTTATTAGTGAACCACCATGAGGTACAGTTGTAGACTTACAAATTTTTGTGCTTGGGTTTCAATTATACAATGATCAAGTACCCATCACTTCACCAGTGTCCATTTTCCACTGCCACAGATCCCAGTATCCCTGGCCCCCTGCCCCCCCCCCCCCGTCCCACCCTGCCTCTGTGGCAGGGAATTCCCTTTTGTTCTCTCTCTCAAAGAGTGTGTGACTAGCCTCCAAGCTATGGAGTAAACCTCCTGGTACTTATCTCGGCTATTCTTGGGTGTTAGTCTCCTATTTTGTTACTTTATGTTCCCCAGATGAATGCAATCTTTCTATGTCTATCCCTCTCTTTCTGAGTCATTTCACTTAACATGATACTTTCCATGTAGTACCACTTGTATGTAAATTTCATGACTTCATCTTTTCTAACAGCTGCATAATACTCCATTGTGTAGATATACCAAAGTTTCTTTAACCAGTCATCTGTTCTCCGGCAGTCAGGTTTTTTCTGGCTATTGTAAAGAGAGCTGCAATGAACAAACAAGTGCTGATGTCACTTCGACTATACCTTTTTGCCTCTCTGGGATATATTCCCAGGAGTGGTATTGCTGGGTCAAATGGGAGCTCAATGTCTAATCTTTTGGGAATTGTCCATACTGTTTTCCAAAAGGACTGAACCAGTAGGCATTCCCACCAGCAGTGAAGGAGGGACCCTTTCTCGCCACATCTGCACCAATACCGGTTGCTTTTGTTCTTTTGGATGTGGGCCAGTCTCTGAGGTGTGAGATGATATGTCATTGTGGTTTTGATCTGCATCATCCTGGTGAATAATGATGTATAACATTTTCTCATGTGCCTTTTAGCCATTCGGATTTCTTCTTTGAGAAAGTTTCTGCTCATTTCATTTCCCCATTTTTCATGGGGTTGGTTGTTTTCTTCTTATGCAGTTCAACCAGTACCTTGTATATCCTTGATATCAACCCCTTGTCAGATGTGTATTCGGCAAATATCCTTTCCCATTCTGTAGACTGTCTTTGTATTTTTTTCACTCTTTCTTTTTATGTGCAGAAGAGTTTTGGTTTAAGATAGTCCCATTTGTCTATCTCTGTTTTCACTTGCTCGGCCAGTGGTGTGGCATCTTTGAAGATACCATTGGCTTCAATGTCATGGAGGGTTTTGCCAACCTTGTCTTCAATGTACCTTATGGATTCTGGTCTGATGTTGAGGTCTTTAATCCACTTTGAACTTACTTTTGTATATGGTGTTAGGCAGATATCTGAGCCCATTTTTTGCATGTAGCTGTCCAGTTTTGCCAGCACAATTTGCTAAAGAGGTTTTACTTACTCCACTTCACATTTCTTGCTCTTTTATCAAAGATTAAATGATCATATGATTGAGGGGAGATGTCAATATATTCAACCCTGTTCCATTGGTCTGCAGCTCTTCCTTTGTTCCAGTACCATGCTGTTTGAATTATTACTGCTTTGTAGTAGAGTTTGAAGTTAGGGAGTTTGATTCCTCCCATTTTTTCCCCCAAGAATTGCTTTAGCTATTCGTGGGGGCTTATTGTTCCATATGA